CCGCTCTTTTACACTGTAAAAAAAACAAAGCACCATTGGTTGTTAATGCCGAGGTATTCTCTATTGAAGAAAACATGTAATGATGAATTTCTAGCTGGAACCCTGTAACCCAAGTGCAATTTCTTACAGCAGATTTTTTTTTTTTTCCAGCAAGAATTTCCAGTTTCAAATTTCTCTCTCAGCCCCATAGAAAACTACTTCCTACTTTGCTATATGTGTATACCCTGCTAGAAGTGGAAGAAAATTATAAAATGCAAGCAGTGAACTTCAAGCTCTATTAATGGGTGTATCTTCTATTAGTTTTCAGAGAGAGAGAGAAAAACAAAGTATAATATATAATCAATTTCTACTGAAAGATTATTCTTGCATTACGTTTCTAAAATCTTTCAAACAACTGTTCATGCTTTTTATTTAACAGAGTTAAGGAAGATGGCCTGCTGATTTTCATCTGTGTTGAACCATACTCTCCAAGTTTCCACTGTTTTGTTTTGACTGAAAGCAGGAATTCACTTAATGGACCTCCATCTAAGTACATCAGAATTAAGCTGCTGAATATTTCTTGCTGTACCACTCTTAACTGCACTTGGCAGCAGCTCACACCAAACTTGTTCATGCAAAGTAACACAGACAATTAGCACTACATCTCAGATCTGTCTAAATCCAGGTCAGCTGAAAAGCAGTTGTCTATTTGCTAGTTTTACTAAACATTTCTCTCAGAACTCTTTGCCAAGCGATGTGTCACTTTGGCATACATGTATCACAAAACTTATCTCTGGGTTAACAGCATGTGAGTTCCCAAGCCCTGCATAACTGAACTGGTGTCAAACACAAGGTCAGAATGCTCTGAAGGAGTGGTCAATGATTTGGCAAGTATTTCCAAAGGTGATAGAAAGATTTAAAACACCCCAGACCCCCAAACCCAGCCAAAGTAACTTTAATAGGCACCAGCACTTTTACTAGCAGGCAGAAAAACTAACAGCCATAGATGCAATGAAACCACAACTTACTCCATTGAGTCAGTTAAAACCTGTGAATTTATCTGAATTGTTGAAACATCACAAACCTCATTTGTCATGAAAGGCAGCCAACACTTTCAGATAACACTTTGTGACAGGGGTGCTATGTTTTACAAACTGTTCTAACGGTGACTGGAGGTGCATCTTTCCTTTCCCCCCACTCCTTCAGAAAGTGAAGTATTTTTTCTCACCTGCCATGGCTCGTGTGAGGAACATCCCTCCCTGTTTGTTCAACAGAGACACATCTAAAGTTCCTCCACCCAAATCCACCACCAGAACATTAAACACATCAGCCTTGTGAAGTCCATAAGCCATAGCTGCAGCCGTGGGTTCATTGATTACTCGCAAAACGTCTAGCCCTACAAAGAGCAAAGATTCCAAGCAACAGTCAGATAGACTTCAAAAAAACAGCAGTTCTCACATCATCATGACATTTACCTTTTTTTTTTTGTGCTTTTTTAACCACTTACCTTAAGTAAAATGTCAGATCTAAAGGAAATAGCTTTCTAAACAGTTATTATCCAAGGAAGTCTTTTCCTTTTTTAAGCCTAAAGTAGTGCTACTTCAGCATAAGGGTGAAGTTGTGAACCATGATTTGCCCAAGAACATCTATCGTAGAGAAACCTTGCTAAGACAGCTTATTTTACATGTTCTATTTCTGTTTAAAATATCGTCCAAGGGTGCTCTATACTGTAGAGTCTCTCTATTTGAAGATTACAAAAAAGACTGTTTTCCCTGAAAGAAAAATGTACTTCTTCTAGCTATCCATGCCTGCATTAGTCAGCTGCACCTGTTGGTAACCAAGAGGTCGCTACTGTTCCTCAAAATTGTTAATGGTCTGTTAAGTAAAAAAAAAAAAAGAATCCATTCTAAGATTCTCTATCACTTATTCACTCTTTCTATATCCTCACCAAAGACTTTACTGTGAGTGAAATAGACATGAAGGTCTCACAGAAAAATGCTGGAGCAAAGTGACATCACCTGCAAGGTTGGCTGCCTTAATGGTAGAATTCCGTTGCCTTTCATCAAACTCTGCTGGCACAGAGATGACTGCCTTTGAAATGGGCATGCCAAGAGAGTCTTCTGCCATTTTCTTCAATTTCAGCAGCAGCTGAGAGCCAATATGCTCTGGAGTGATGTGAAAAGTTTGATTAGTTGTCACAGAAAATTCAGCTGATCCATTGTTGTTGAAAATCTAGGAGGAAAAAGCAACACAACCTACAGGTGAGAAGTCTTTCTGTGATGCTCTCCCACCAGATGTTTTGTTTGCATATAGTCTGTGTATTATGGAAACATACGATTATGCTTTTGCCACTTCTCAAATCACTTTTATTCCTTGACAATGAGTATTATACAAAACATACCACTTAAGGGGACCAAGTATATCCAAAATATTGACACTCACTTTCCCCAGGTAAGACACATTAAAGAGAAGTTAAGTCCTAGCAACTGTGTAATCAACTTCAACATCACATTCAGAGATAGAAGTAACAGGTTTTAATCCTTAGGTTTACCCTACTTATAAAGTTTCCATTTTTGAAAGGAAGCAAACAGGTTGGTACTGGAACAGCTTCTCTTAAAAAGTAAATAATTAAGACTATCTTTAGTACCTTAAAATTTGTTTCTTCTCAGCAATTACTGCAACATGTGAGATTAATCCAATACTTCTTTTAAAAAGCAGCTTTCAAGATCTGCTGCTAGTCAAGGAAGCACTAAAGTGCCAGGGGGAAAAATATTCTGGGACAGAGAAGATGTGATTTTTATACTTTTCTTTTTTTTTATGATCTCAAGGGAAAAGTGTCAGCAAAGCACAGTGAGAATTTAAAGTTGAAACTCATACTTTAAGAGAAGAGGCTTACTGAAAACACATTTGACAGTAGATCACAGTGTCCTCTGGAAAATCGCTATCAGCTCACATGCAGAGGTACATGACTTCTGCAACCATATATTCTCCTCTTTGGATACTTCTTATGGTTTTCAGGCATTTCAGATTTAGCCAGATGACTGAAGGTCAGAAAGGTTGGTCATCCTACTTTGCCCTTCAAGCTTCCTGTAAATTACTGCTTGCAGAGCCCTGCAGAAGATGGCTACTTACCTTAAAGGGGTACCTGCTGCTTTCACTTTTCAGCTCTTCTGAAGTGAAGATTTTCCCAATGAATCTTTTTGCATCATATATGGTGTTCTGAGGATTTGAATCAGCCAGTTCTAGGCCATCATATCCCACATACACATCTCTGTCTGTGAAAGAGACTATACTTGGAATGCTGTTGTGCCCGTTTTCATCTGCAATAACCTTCACCTGCCCTGTTCCAGGAAGAAAGACGCCCACAGAGCAGTAAGTCGTGCCAAGGTCAATCCCAACTACTTTTGGTGTAGGCATTGGTAAATATTGTTGTGCGAGATACCCAGCCAACAAGAGAGCCAGAACAGCTGAACCTGAAACAGATTAAAAGATAGTAACAGGGTTACACTATCTACTGCTGCAAACTTAAGTCAATGCCAATTACAGAATCTTAGGGGTTGGAAAGGACCTTGAAAGATCATCTAGTCCAAATTATTATTACCAAATTATTATTTCCCAGCATTATACATTACACCTCATGCAGCTTTATTTCATGCTCTGAAGCCTGTTCAGCTACCTAATTAGCTTGCAATTTCTCTAAAGGTGACCAGCAACTTCAGGTCCTTAATTCAACAAAAAGTGGTTAGAAGAGTCAAAAATCTGATGCGTCAAATACTAAACTGGTTAAAAATAAGCCCAAGAGGTATATAGCAAAGTAAAAAAATATGACAACCCTGTAATAAATCTTTTTCCCTCTGTAAGACACTTCAAAAATATAGGTTAATGAATGACCCCTAAGGGTCATCTAGTTAATGAGGCTGCACAAAATCACAGTGAAATTACAAACTCCCAATTAAAATATCTCCAGAGGAAGTCTAAGACTAAGGAGATTCAAAACCATATTAATTCCTCCTATTTCAGTCATAGCTCCCACAGAGCATCTTCCCACACCTCTGAATCCTTTCTGTGCCTTGAAATCAAGGGGTAGACTAGCTCAAGTGCAGAGTAGCTGTGGTTTGGTTTGTTTTTTTTCTTCCAGCAAGAAACGCAAAAATCTAATAGAAAACAATGCCTCAGAGGAGAGATAAAAAGCAACGACCACAAACAAAATCTGAAGAAATCTAACAGCTTAAATTTCAGAGTGGATAAGCTGTTTTGCCCAGCGGGGAAGGGCAATCACGGCTGTGCCTCGAGCAGACTAGTGAGAAAGAACACGTTTACTTTCGGCCGTGAATCTTCCAAGGCATTTCTTAGGCCACAGGAGAAGAGGAACACACCGAAAACAGGCCACAGGCAGCCGTGCCGTCCTGAAAAGCCAGACCAGGGCGGTAACGTGGGCAGAAAGGCTGCGACATCCCCAGCAGAGCCAGGAGGCCGCGGTCAGGGCCC